CTTGTTGTAGTTAAGCATTTTTCACATGACTGTGATCATAGTATATGTAATTGTGTTACTTAACATTATACAAACTATTAACTCTTTCTTTGATCTCCTTGGATTAATAATGATTGATGTCATTTTTACTTAAGTTTTAGTTTAAGTTCCATACAAACTTTAAAGGAAAAAGCCTTTCAAAACCACTGAAAAAGAGGAAGATGATGGCTCATAAGCACATGAAAAGGAGCTCAACGTCAAAAGTCATTAGGAAATGCAAATTAAAACCCAAAGGAGATACCACTTCACAACTAGGAAAATGACTATCATAAAAAAAAGGCAGACAATAACAAGTGTTGGTGAGGATGTGAGAGGCTGCAACATTTATACCCTACTCAGGAGAAAATAAAGTGGTTCAGCCACTTTGGAAAACAGTTTGGCAATTTCTTAAAAAGTGAAACCTAAATTTAGCACACGACCAGAAATTCCACCCATCCGTACGTACCTGAGAGGAATGAAAACAAATGTCCACACAAACCCTAGTTAATGTTCATAACAACGTTATTCCTAATAACCACAAAAGGAAAACAACCCAAATGTTTATCAGCTGATGAGTGAATACAACGGAATACTCTCCTGCAATAAAAAGAATAAAATATGGATACATGCTACAACATGGAGGAACCTCAAAAGCATTGTGCTTCATGGAGGAAGACAGACGCTATAGATTACATGCTGTATGCTCCATTTATGTGAAATGTCCAGAAAAGGCAGATTTATAAAGACAGACAGCAGATCAGTGGTTGCTTGGTACTGGAGTGTTAGTGAGGATTACTATGCACAGGTTTGAGGGACGTGTTGGGGGTGATCGAAACGTTCTAAAACTGGATTACGGTGATGGCTGCACAACTTTGTAAGTTTACTGAAAAAGTATTGAATTGTACACTCACCAAACACACACACACAAAGTAGATGAAGGAGGGGGCGCTTTGAACCATTTGGGGGACACTTTTAAGACGAGTGAAATTTGGAACCTAATAAGAAATATGCAACAAACGAATTTGTAAAGTCTCTCGGCTTTTCAAATGATAACCAGATTTATCCTTAACATAATATCATCCTGAAGGTGCCTGGGTCGAAGGGTCATATCTTTGAAAGGCACAATATGAAAGGAAATTGAGTTACTGTTACATATCCTTAAACAAAAAGAATGAAACAGCAGAAGAGGAGGGCCTTGTGTTTGGTTTTTATGTTCCTATGCCGCCACCTCGTGATCATTTATAAAATGGCGCCACTCGACTTGCCTTTTTTTTTTTTTACCTTGGATTTGTTGAGCCGTGTCTGTATACCACAAATATCCAAATGCTTGGCTGTGTGTAGGTTAAATATCTGAATGGATCGCTGAATAATTTATGCTTCCAAAAAATACTGTAGTGGCAAGAACTGGATTGGGAATCTCAAAAAATAGCTTCCAGCCCCTGATCTGCTTGGTGTCAGCTTTGTGACTTTGAGCCGGAACAAGATTAATCTATGGGCCCTAACTGGCCCCAGAGTTCAAGCAGAGGCTCTCTGTAAGTTAGCGGTTAGGAGCACGGCATTGGAGTAAGTTCCTAACTACTCTGAACTTTGGTCTTCTACTCTATAAAAGAACACCCACTGCCAAGGTCCGTGTGAGAACCAAGTGTGAACATGTATGTAAAAACACTTATTTCAGAATACACTTCAGAAAAGAGTAGGCTGCGATGGTTCCCACCAGTAATCAGGTGCCCCGTGGGCAAAAATCTGACATTTTGAAGTAGTTACTTCTTCCCACCCCACCCCCAAAACAATTAAGCAAAAACCCTGAAAGATAGAAGTTCAGAAAACAAAATATATGTCTTAGAATTTATCAGCCGATTGGAGAAACACATTTGAACAATTTATTTAAATACTGAGTAAAGCCAAAGGCTTCACAGAAGCTGGAATTTTACAAATAACTTGGAATTACTGATTTTTTTTTAAAGATTTTATTTATTTATTTGAGAGGGAGACAGAGACAGAGCATGAGTAGGGGGAGGGGCAGAGGGAGAGGGAGAAGTAGACTCCCCACACGGCAGGGAGCCTGGGATCATGAACTGAGCCAAAGGCAGACGCATAACCGACTAAGCCACCCAGGCGCCCCTCAGTGATTATTTCTAAACGATACGGAGTGACAAGGACGTCAAGGGGTGCCTGTTGTAGCCGATCCTCTCACCACCAGTATCTTACAGGTGCCTGGCAGGCTCAACATAAGCCAACCAGCACAATGCTGACCAGAGGAGACAGAATTCTTTCATTTCCCCAAGAATTCAAATGAGTGTTTGCATCACTTGAGATTTTATTCCATAGGTCAGAGAAGCAGGCTGCATAAGGAGCCACACTATCTGAAACTAACGAGTGTCTACCATTTTACTCCTTCACCCACTCTATTTCCTTAGGATGTCAAAATATCGAGACGATCTTAGCTTTTATTTTCCAGGCAGATGTTCTGGCACGACTCATACATTAAGTTTTTTGTTTGTTTTTAACAGCTTTATTGAGGGATAATTTAGATACCATAGAATTCCCTAACATACATGGTTGCCCGAGTCTTGGTAACTGCATACAGTTATGTAGCCATTACCACAATTCAGTTTTAGAACAATTCTATCATATACTTTGCATTTGACCAGCCCCATAGGGAAAGAATTTACTGGATCTTTAACCTGTGGATTTAAACCATCTAGCTCTAGAACCTCGCCTAGGCATTCCTTTTGAATAAATCAAGCTTTAAAGGGAGACAAAGTAAAACTCTCAACTTTACTCCAAATAGAGGTCAGTGAAACACATTCTCTCCAGGGGTCTGCAGGCTAATTAGAATATAAATTAAATAAGTTAAGAATAAAAGTTAAGACACATGCACTAATGTATATTTTGAAAAGCGTATATTATATAATTCATTACAGTTTATGCCATTATTATGGCCACCTTTCACCCAAGGACCATCTTATTTGTTTTCTCACTCTTATAGATATGGTTAGGTGGGATAAACTGCCTGGAGCCTGAACATTTTGATCTGGCATATCCCAAGTTAATGGAAGAAATATTCCCCCTTTCTGTAATTTGGCTGTGCACACTTACGTGGGTGGGGTTGGAACTAAAACACTGCCTTAGATCCTGCAGAGGAAGAGCTTCTTCTTCAATGGGATATGTAAGAGGCCCTTTTGATTTTGTCTTGTTTCAAAAAGCTTATTTATTCAAGAAATAATTAAATTGCCATGCTCCTCATCCTGCAGATCCAGTACTCACAGTCTACTTCTCCCAATACAGCATCTAGTAAATATGTACACAAAAATCTCTCAATGAAAGAATTATAATCTGGGTATAATGAAAATGCCTCTATTTATTTATTTGCTTTTTGTTCCTGCCTTATCTCTAAGTTCGTCTATAGGTGTTTCAGAGAGGTAGTTATGTATAAACTACTTCTACTTTGCTTCCAAACACACCTTTATCCAGCCTTACAGAGTTTACTAACTCCACTCATCTTGACATTTAAATACTATTTTACTTTGTTATTTAAGTGTTCGATATGTGCTAACTCAGCCTCCTTCATATGCTAAGATCCTTGTGGTTAGAGTAATTGTTTCAAACTTCATGCATGAATAAACGAATTCTGTATTTCCTGAGCACCTTGTGCACATTGGGCACACAAAAAGCTATTTAGTAAGTACTTGTTTAATTAATAATGATACCTCAGGTTTGTCTCCCCTCCTGTGAAGCCCCTGCCGCCTGTCCCCCCCTCCACGTACATTTATCATATAACCCAGATTTCCTAGACATTACAGATTTTCTGTCTTACTGTCCCATAAGAACAGTTGCATGTGCCACACCATATGTCTGGTCATATGGTCCTCAATAACTGTAATATGAATCCATCTCTGTTGCAATACGTCTCTGATTTCTATTCCTCCCTCTTTGCTAATAGCTCTGATTACCATTTCAAATACAGTTCCCTTTCTTTTCTTTAACTTGAGCCTCGATTTTTAACATTACAAAAGCATACTAATAGGACAAGTTTGACAATACAAAATATACAGAGTGCCTCTCATCAAAGGTTATCTATTTCTTCCCTGCTTGTTCCCACTTTGACTCGTACAACTCCGGGTTCCTGCACTAAGAGGGCCTAGAGAACATTCAGTACACACAGGAAGCAGCTGCGCAGTCCCCCGGGCACCTGTCGGTGGGTCGCCCACTCACTCATTCTGTGACCTTGGTTGAGTCACTCAAATTTCTATGAACCTCGGAGTCTTCCTTATAATGCTGCCCATCTCACCAGGCTGTCGAGACAAGAGAGACGTGGATGTATGCGCACTCTGTGAAGTCTAAAGCGCAATGCAAATTTAAAGGATCGCTGGGAGGGGGGTGGTTCCCTGCAGAACTCTTCGTGCCTGCTCTCCCCCAGACTTTTCGTTTCACCGCGCAACTTGAAGGGACGCGCCCAGGAACCTGCACACCACCGCGCCCCAGCCCTGCAAGTTCACAGGCAGCAGCTTCTCCCGGCCTCGCCTCCTCAGGGACCGAGACCCAGGCCCCGGCTCGGAGACGACCGCGAGGCTTCGGGCGCCGTGGGCCGCCGGGAGGAAGGAGCCTTCCTTGCAGAGCACCCCTCTGCAATTGTAACGCGCGCTCCCTCTAGGTCGGCCTCTGGGTCTCAATTATAAACTGGAGTCACGCCCGGCCTCAGCCTCGCCCCTCCCTCTCCCGCACCAGCCAAGCGAAGCCCCTCCCCCGGAAAGCCCCTCGCCGGGAAAGCCCCTGCCCCGGAAAGCCCCTCGCCGGGAACGCCCAGCCACCTTCCAAAAGGCCCTGCCAGCTTCAGCCACGCCCCACTATTTAAACTCAGGGCGCCCGCGAAGGTGGCTGGTTAGGGCCCCGCGCAGTGAATTATGGGGGGGAGGGGTGAGCCTGCAGAAGGTGGATGCTGATTGGCTCCTGGGCGAGGAGGGCGGAGTAAAAGGCGGAAGCAGGCGTTGGGGGGTGGCTCCGTGCAATTGCAGACTGGAGCGCTCATGGAAGCGGTTAGGTGCTCCGAGCACGGTAAGGGGTCCGGGTCTTTTAGGGGCTCCCGGGATCTGTCAGTGTAGCTTGGCGTAATCATTATCAACCTCCTGTCTTCAGGGATCGTGTGCTTTCTCAAGACCGGCGTCCGCGATGGCCCGAATAAAGGAAAGAGCTTCTACGTGTGCCCGGCTAACACCTGCAGCTTCGTGCTGGCAGCCGAGTAAGTCTCGAGATGGGCATGACTGCCTACCACCGCCAGCTCCCCTCCGCCCGGCGCCACTGGCACTAGGAGAGGTGGGGATCCTGGTGTGTGCAGCCGGGGCCTTTAAGTAGTTGGTGATCCCAGGCCAGCGTGGCGTGTTCAGGAGGCCCTCCGTTCCTGCTTCCTGTTTGGCCCTGGGCAGCTTACTCACCCTCTCTGGGCCTCCTTTTCGCCCAGCTGTAAAGTGGAAGGTCAACTACAATTGGAACCTTCTGGTCCTTTGCAGCTCTGGGTTTCTTCTTGCTTGCCAGCCCTTCTGCTAGGACATTGCCTCTCCCTGCTAAGTGAGGACATGCAGACATAGTAGAAAATAATTGGTCCCTGTTTTGCACTAGTTTCAGGCCGAACTTATTTTTAAATGTTTGAGCTTAAAACTCGCTGGTGGTCAGATTATCAACTCCTTTTAAAAAGAGGATTCTCTGGTGGCACCTGAGTAGCTCAGCTGGTTAAGCATCTGACTCTTGATTTCCGCTGGGGTCATGATTTAGGGTCCTGAGATAGAGCCCCGCTTGGGGCTGCGCACTGGGTGTAGAGCCTGCTTAAGATTCTCTCTCCCTCTCTGCCCCCCCGCCCCCTTGTGCCCACTGTCTCTCACTCTGTGTCTCAAAAAAGAAAAGAATACTCTGCATTTAAGGTGTAAGATTGATAATCCAAAAAGCAGGTTACTTTAGGATTAATGCTGAAAGAAAATCAGATATCTTTTTTTATTATTATTATGTTATGTTAATCACCATACATTACATCAATTTTTGATAGGAAATCAGATATCTGATCAACATTCTGGTTTTACAAAATTGGAAGCTGGGACCCAGAAATGTTAAGCATCTTCTTTTTTTTTTTTAAGATTTTATTTATTTTTTAGAGAACGAGCGAGAGAGAAACAGCATGAGAGGGGAGAGGGTCAGAGGGAGAAGCAGGCTCCCCGCTGAGCCGGGAGCCCGATGTGGGACTCGATCCCAGGACCCTGGGATCATGACCTGAGCTGAAGGCAGACGCTTAACCATCTGAGCCACCCAGGCGCCCAAGCATCTTCTTCAAGTGAGAAAAGTTAATACAGTTGTCATAAAATGTTAATAAGGTCCACAGCCCATGTGAATTTTTAAACTTTATCACATTAGACATTTTTCCTGCTCTCTACTGAATTTGGTAGAGAAACAAATTTTCTCCATCTGATGTAAGGCACAAAGTGGATATCAATACTAGAAAATAAAGTATTTTTTAACATGTGTATATTAACTTACGTTTCCCTTACATGATTTAGATGATTTCTATCTTTGTTGTGCTTTGAAGCTAAGTGAAGAAATTTGTTTCTGTTTTCAGATTTGGCAAATAAATTTTTAGAGAAAATACTTTCTTAGCCCTCTAATAAGTTGTCCTTTTATTGGAAAGAAATTACCGGGATCCAGTTAAGTTAAATACGAAACGATTTTGAAAAAAGCAGTGTCAAATCTTAAGATAGAAGGGACAAGCCAGTTAAGCTATCAACGACATATCATCAAGTCAGGATTTACTATTTATTTCTAATTTCTATACTGAGTTTCTTAGGTTCTGTACCTAGCTCAAGTTTCATGAAACATGGAAGCATGTTCAGATTTGTAGGAACAAAGCATTAATGGTAGCATGGGACTCAGCTTTATGTTATTTATTTATTTATTTTTAAGATTTTATTTTTATTTATTTGACAGAGAGAGACAGCCAGAGAGGGAACACAAGCAGGGGGAGCAGGAGAGGGAGAAGCAGGCTTCCCGCAGAGCAGGGAGCCCAATGCGGGGCTTGATCCCAGGACCCCGGGACCATGACCCGAGCCGAAGGCAGACGCTCAACGACCGAGCCACCCAGGCGCCCCTCAGCTTTATGTTAAAAGAAACATACCTTTGGGGTGCCTGGCTGGCTTAGTTGGTGGAGCACGTGATCTTGGGGTTGTGAGTTTGAGCCCCATGTTGGGTATAGAGGTTATTTGAAAATAAAATCATTAAAAAAAGAAAAGCAAATCCTTATATAGAATACCATTTATGCAAATGCACTGCTGTCAAACTAGTACAATATAATAGTTATTTGATAAACTTAACCAATTTGGGGGCGCCTGGGTGGCTCAGTTGGTTAAGCAACTGCCTTCGGCTCAGGTCATGATCCTGGAGTCCCGGGATCGAGTCCCACGTCGGGCTCCCTGCTCAGCGGGGGGGTCTGCTTCTCCCTCTGACCCTCTCCCCTCTCGTGCTCTCTGTCTCTCATTCTCTCTCTCAAATAAATAAATAAAAAATCTTTAAAAAAAAAAAAAAAGTATTTCCTCTTAACTTTAAAAAAAAAAAAAACTTGACCAATTTGGGATATGTCTGGTAACCAGGATATAAGCAAAACAAAGGAAGAAACAAGCGCCACATGTCATATGAGAGTACTTTAGGTCTTCACTCAAAACTGTAGCCTCAAATGTTATATATACATTCTCTCATAATAAATTGGAAAAGAAGAGTTAAAAAACTTACGCCAGGCATGAAGCAGGTTAGGAGAGCCTGCTCCTAAACAGATTGTTATAGGAAAAGGGATGATGGAAGAACCTGTGGAAAATTCACAGCCTGTCTTAGATACTTCAGCTGTTTCTGGGGGGGTGGCGGGGGGGGTTGTCTCACAATGTAGAGGTCACAGAACAGTATAGTTTTGAGCTTTTGAGTCATCAGGAGAAAGGCGTATTTATTGTCATCCTGTCTTTGGGGGAGTGGGAAAAAAATGAAAGCTGTAGAGCCTTTCCCCAGAGGAATGTGCATAGACGTACAAATGTATGGGATTAACAAACCCAGTAGAGGTCATACTTGCATTCTTATGTTTAAAACCCATAGTTTAGGGGTACATGGGTGGTTCCGTTAGTTAAACGTTGGGCTGTTGATTTTGGCTCAGGTCATGCTCTCAGGGTCATGTGATCGAGTCCCGGGCCTGCTTGAGGTTCTCCCTCTCTCTCCCGCTGCCCTACCCCCTTGTGTGTGCGCGTGTGCACTCGCACGCACACACACATTCTCTCAAAAATAAATAAATAAATAAAATTCATAGTTCGGATTTAATTTTAGAACGTTAATTTCTGTTGCCTCCTAAAACAAAATTTCTTTTTTTTCCCCTCCCCTCTAGTATTCCTGTCTCTCATTGTTTATTGCATGAGGACTGTGTGGTAGGGCTTCAGGGTTTGCTTCTACCGCCAGGCAAGGAAGAATATAGGTAAGTGTCCAAAAGGAACATCTACGTGTATTTGCTTCTGTCTTTCCCTGGAAGAGTTACAGCCAGATGTGTTTTCCTAGAATTGACTATTCTGTAAAAATGATTTTTCACAAAGAGGATTTCTGTATGTATTGAATGCCTTCTGAGATGTTACTCCCTCACTGCAGAGCAACTGGTTAATTTGAGAATCTGGTTAATTTCAGGATCAACTGCTCTACCTTCCTCCCTCTCCCGCTCTTCAGTAGCCAGTAATGTCAGCCCACCAACAGTCATGAACTTGCAGTGACTTGTCAACTTTTCCATTCTAGTACTAGAATGAAGTAATGTCTAAAAATGTCTAAAGTATTTAAGCACTCAATAAATGTTAGTTTCCCTTCTTTTTTATGAAAACTCAGAGGTGAGGCAGGGAAATCTATATAGGTGACAGGTGATATTTGTCATGAGTATTCAAAGGTAAGTAGGAATTCAGTAGGGGCAAGAAAGGGGTCATATTTAACAGATCAATACCCTGCATTAAGGTATGGAGTTAGGAAGTAACCAGGAATTGCAACTATTTGGTTTGGTAATAATTTAGCATGTGTTTGAGTAGAGATTTCAGAAGATAAGGCTGCCCAGGAAGGCAGGGGCCAGGTATGATGGTCATTATATGATATTCTGTGCAGTTCAGAATGTATATATTCTAGATCAACCCCCCCACCCCACCATATTGGCATTTCAGTACCATCTTCACATGTCACTTAAATACCAATTCTGCTGTTTTTCTTAATTGAGTTGTGGATACAATAAGATGCATTGATTTTTAAGTGTTCAGTAGTTGAGTTTGAGAAATTGATATAACCAAGCCTCAGTCAAAATACAGAAATATTTCTCTTACCCCATTAAGTGCCATTGGACCCCCTTCTACCATAGGCATCCACTGTTTTGATTCATTCTTTTATGTCTGGCTTCTTTTATGTAACAATATCTGTGAAATTCATCCATGTGGTTGTGTGTATCCGTAATTCTTCGTTATTGCTGAGTTGAATTCCACTCTGTGAATATCACAGTCTGTCGTGCTTATTTGTCATCTGTATATCTTCTCTGGTGAAGTATCTGTTTAAATCTTTTGCCCATTTTTTTCATTGAAAATTTTATTGAGGTAATTGTAGATTCTCATGCATTTATAAGAAATAGTACAAAAAGACGCCCTGTAGACTTTACCTAATGGTAATATTTTGCAAAGTGTATGTAAATAGTATATAATATTACAATTAGGATATTGATTCAGTCCACTGATCTTATTTATGAAGATAGTTTTCCTTGTACTAATGTGTGTGTGTGTGTGTATAGGTTTAGTTCTATACAGTTATCGTGTAGTTTTTTTGTATGCACTACCACAGTCAAGATATGGGACAGTTCCTTCACCACTGAATTCCTCTACCCTGCCTCCCACTCCCTCCACGTCATCTCTGGCAACCAGGAATCTCATCTCCGTTTCTAAAGTTTGCCATTTCAGAAATGTTATATCAATGGTATCATAAAGTGTAACTTTGGGGGATTTTTACCTACTTTAAAAATTGTGTTGTCTTTTTATTATTGAATTAGAAGAGTTTTTTATATATTCCCTATACAAGTTCTTTGGCAAATACATATATAATGAATATTTTCTCCAAGTCTTTGGTTTTCGTTTTCTTAACTCCCTTTTGAAAAGTAGAAATTTCTCATTTTTATAAAGTCCAGTTTATCATTTTTTTGTCCTTTGTGCTTTGTGTGTTCTCTCTGAGAAATCTTTGCCTGCCCCAAGATCACAAATTTCTCCAAGGGTTTCTTCTAGAGGTTTTATAGTTAGTTTGTTTTCTTAATGGCTTTTCTGCTTAGTCTGTGATCTACTTCAAATTAAGTTTTGGTATCTTATGAGATAGGAGTAGGTCATTTATTTTTCCATATATTACTGAATGAATATTATTCACTTGTCTTAGCACCATTTTGGAAGACTTTCCTTTCGCCATGGAAATGCTTGGCACTTCGTAAAAAATCAGTGATTACCATGTTATGGATCTGTTTTTTTGAACTTGCTAATTGTTCTGTTGGTCCTTTTGCCTATCCTGACACAATCAGGTAAGATAGTATGAGTCTTCCAACATTCTTCTTTTTCAAGATTGGCTATTCTGGGTCATTTGCATATAAAATGTAGCATCGAATTCTAAATTTCCTTAGAAAAACTTGTTGGTATTACACTGAATCTGTATAGATCCTTTTGGGAAGAACTGACATTAATGTTGATTTTCCAGTCTATGAGCATAGTGTATTTATGGCTTTTTTTTCCCCAGCATTGTTGAATAGTTTTCACTGTAGAGTGAGTACTCTACTCTTTTTGTTAAATTTAGTCCTCAGAGAGTGTTATGATTTTTGATGCTATCGTAAATGGTATTTTTAAATTGTTCACTTTTTTAAAAAGATTTATTTGTTTATCTGAGAGAGAGAGAGAGAGAGTAGGGGGAGGGGCAGAGAGAGAGACTCTTCAAGCAGACTCCCCGCTGAGCACGGAGCCCCACATGGGACTCCGTCTCATGACCCTGAGATCATGGCCTGAGCCAAAACCAAGAGTCAGATGATCAGCCAACTGAGCCACGCAGGCACTCTGAAATTTTCACTTTTTGACTGTTTTTTTTTGTTAGTACAGTGAGGCTTGTAAGCCTCTAGAGCATGAAGTCAGGATGTCCTGACACCTAAAACCATTTATGCGATGCTGGGGGTGGGGGGACCCTCTACCATATGGGAAGACTGTTCTAGGTTGTAGGAAGCCACTGAAGAATGTTTGGTCCAATTTGCATTAATAAAAGAGGAGCTCTGAGGACGGTTGGTTAGAAAGGAAGATGGTGGAGGCAAGGAGACTGCTGATACAGAAGTGCCATTAAATGTCTAGTAAATGGCATCGTCAGTATTGCTTACTGCCATCGTCTCTTCTGTGACAGGAAGATGAGGCAACTAACATTTAGAGAGGTTAGGAAAGGAAGCAGGTCCCAGGGTTGTGGAGTGGCATTGCTGGGATTCAGACCACGGTCTAGCTGATTCTAGATGAATCCACGTTAGTCTCTAAGTGAAAGGTGTGCTTGGATTGAGGCATTGGCAGTGGAGTTGGGTGGACTTAGGTTGTGGAAAACTTGCTGAAAGAAAATCAGTAAGACAACTTTCTGGTGGGGCATTTAAGCATGTACCTTTCTCCCTCATTTTCCCCTCAGGAATAGTGACCCTGGCAGTCCCGGCTTCCCTGGGTTGTGAGGATTCGGTGAGGTCATGGATCTGATGCACGCGGTCTGGCGTTTGGCTCGCTGTGAGTGCTCAGTAAATGGTTGTTAAGTTGGGATTTATGGGTGATGAGTTTACCATTAAGCAAGACAAGGAAAGAAAGGTAACATAGATGGAGGTTTGGGATGTGTGGCCAACACAGACAGCTTTGAACTAATCATGTCTTAGGTATATATGAAACCAGCTAGAGAAGTCAGTGCAGCTCCAAAGAAAGGTCTAGGCTCAAGATGGAATTTTGAGAATTTACCACAAACATTCTTCATATTAGGGAGATGAGGCTGAGAGTTGATCGTTATTTTAAAATAGAAAAGTAAGAGCGCCTGGGTGGCTCAGTCGTTGGGTGGGCGTCTGCCTTTGGCTCAAGTCATGATCCCAGGGTCCTGGGGTCGAGTCCCGCGTCGGGCTCCCTGCTCGGGGGGAAGCCTGCTTCACCCTCTCCCACTCCCCCTGCTTGTGTTCCCTCTCTTGCTGTGTCTCTCTGTCAAATAAATAAATAAAACCTTTAAAAATAAAGAAATTAATTAATTAAAAAAGATAAAATCGAAAAGTAAAGGGGTACCTGGGTGGCTCAGTCCGTTAAGCGTCCGACTTTTGATTTTGGCTCAGGTCACGATCTCAGAGTTGTGAGATTGAGCCCTGTGTCGGGCTTCTCGCTAGGTGTGGAGCCTGCTTAAGAGTCTCTGTCTTCCTCCCCCCCCCAAAAAAAGAAATAAAATAGAAAAGTAAAGTATGCAAATGTTTTTCTTTTAGCCCAAGTCTAGAACATCATTACTAGGAGGTACTTACTGGAGGTTTTAAAAGGTTGTTTTAGGACAAATAAAATACAGTCATACAACACACAATAAATAAAAAACAAAAAACAAATAAGTACCCTGATTGGTAGTACAGACTGGAAATTTTAACAGAATTAGGTACGCCAATAGATGACTTCCTTAGCAGACAGTTAGTGCATATAGCCAGAACCCCTGTACTCTGGAGAATGACCTCAGGGAGTATAACCTTTTCTTCTGAAAACTGAACTTAAAGTACTTCACATCTTTGACTTAATTCCAGTATGTTTGAAGCTTAACCCAACTAGGAGACAGGTGCAGCAGAGTAATGGGAAGGAGGTGTAAGCCCCGGGGAGGCTAAGATGCCCATTTTTCATTCCTTGGCATGTAGGTGCATTTGCATGCAGTTCTCTAACTTAACCGCCAGATGGTGCCACTCACCAGCATTTGACTGACCCTTCAGCCTTGGCCCTCTGTTTAGGAACAATAAAGAAAGTTACTCAGTAGAACTAGAGGGAAGAACTCTTGCCCTGACTTGAATGATGTGGCACACACACCTTGATTTACAGATCAAGTGTGGACGTTGTCACTGAGCTTCCTGAGTTCTTGTTTGCTCCCCTCCCGTTTCCCCCTCCTCTCCTTTGTCTTTCAACTTCTCAAGGATAGAGAATCAAAATAGATGGAAGTATTCTTTTATCTGTAACTAGGTAAAACAAGTTTTCGTTCTTTAAAAAACTGGTTGTTGTGGGATGTTCAAAATATTTTATTTTTAGGGGCTCCTGGGTGGCTCAGTCGGTTACGCAGCTGCCTTCAGCTCGGGTCATGATCCCAGGGTCCTGGGATCCAGCTGGTTGGGCTCCTGCCCAGTGGGGAATCTCCTTCTCCCTGTCCCTCTACCACCCCTCCAGTCGTGCGCTCTTTCTCTTGCTCTACTCTCTCTCTCAAATAAATAAATAAAATCTTTAAAAAAATATTTTTAATAACATTTGAATCTTTGCATGTCTAGCAGATTCCTTTGTGTGGTTGGTTATTGGGTAAAATTGGGGTGCAGATGATATAGCCCAGTGATGATTTTCTGAGGAGATGATAGAAATTTGGGTATAAGCCAGGCCTGTGCAGAAGCACCTTAAGTCCTACCACCCCATGAAGATCCCCCCTCAATAAAGTTAGTACATCTTGTATTTATATTGTAGAGTATCATGCACTGTGCTATGTAATGGAAGGAATCCTTGTTTGTGAAGGCTGTTAGCTCTGTGTGTCACAATTAACTGTTCCCACTTTGCCTTTTGTCTTATAATTTTGCTAATGGTATTTTTGCCATATGGAAGTTTAAACCTTTTTTTTCACGGCTGTAGGGTAGCGGAGAGCCATGTTGCTGCCCCTCAGTGGCTTCCGCAGCTGAACATTTAAAACTTTTGTGTGGCCAGAATTACTAAATCCTTTACCTCTCAGCTGCAGGGCTTCAGGTCCCACTTAGAAAAGCCTTCTTCACGTTAGGATTAAAAAAAAATTCATCTCTCTTTTTTTACCCAGAACATTTACAGTTGCATTTTTTACGTTTGCATTTTCGTTCCATCTTGAATTTTAATGTAAGAGAATGAGGTAGAAATCCAGCTTTATGTTTTTTCTAGTGCTGGCTCATATAAACAAGGGAACCTGTATTCCTAAGGGGCTCTGACACCACTGGGGTAAGAGTCAGACACAGGAAGGCTGGTGCCCAGCGCGATCTGCATGTAGTAGCATTAAATTGGATGTGTTCAAATGCAGGCGCTTCTGTGATCTAGTAAGACCTGCAGTAAGGGGTTAATGCTGGTGCAAGTTACTGAGATAGTGTAGGAGTTGAGACTGGCCTTGAATGACCTTTAAAATTTGGATACAGTAAAAGATAAGTACTTGGGGGCTATAAGCAGAAGTGTGGATATAGGAATAAGCAAGAGGGTCAGAGGGAGTGAACTAATGATTATTATTGCTTAGCAAGTCCTTAATATGGGTCAGGCGTTGGTCTGAACCTTATCTTTACATGTATTAATGCATGTGGTCTTCACAGTGATCTTATGAGGTAGGTACTTCTTTTGTTTTGTGTGTGTGTGTGTTGTTTTTTTTTTTTTTTTTTTTTTGGCCATCTTAGAGAAAAGGAAACTGGCACAGAGACTAGTCAAGTGAAGTATCTGAGGAATCAGAGCTAATTATGTAGTGAGGCTGGGATTCGAACCAACGGAGGATGACTCTGGAGCCCGAGAGACTCCTGGCCTGGCTGAAGTGAACGTGCCTGAGAGTGTAAGTCTGGGTTAGACGATCAGCCTTTAGGAAGAAGGGAGGATATGCCTTCTCGTGAAGCATTGAAGAGGTCTGGCTTCCTCTGGCTGTGTTCCTCATTATTATTTATTGCTTACGTCCTGGGAAATAATGGATATACTGCAGAAATTATACTCTTCTTCATAGCAGAATCAATATTTGATTTCTCTGAGAATATATTTCCATTGCTTTCTTTGTTGATTTGCAATTTAATAAACATAACAAACTTTTTATCCTAAAAACAGAGAAGCCCATCCAGATTGGTTTTAATAAAAACACAAGTACAAGCATTTTTAGCACCGTGCCTAGAACATATACATGCTTAGTAGTTAAATCATACATGTGTTGTTTTCTCCCTTCTTGGTCTCCAAGTTCCTGCCCTTTTGAAAGTCTGCAGTGGCTTGGGCTTTCAAATAGATATGATTTATGAGATATTCTTGTCTTGATACACTTAAAATAACAGCAGAAATTTATTCTTGCCAATACTTTGAATTGTTATGCATTTGAAGCATCTCAGAAATTTTATTACACATGTTCAATATAATATCCTATTGCTGTGAGAAAAACTAAAGAGACCAGTAAAATTTTTTTCAGAAAATTGTGAGCTTGAATGGGAAAATTATGAGTTTGTATGAGAGGGGCTGGACCTATTTTCTTTTTACTTTGACTTTTATGGAACACTTGTTCATTTGAGGCTTATCTTTGCTTACATGTCCAGGTGAGGTAATGACATCCGGGGATTTTGAATTGGGACTCAGACTGTCTTGATTCATGTTGTATATCACGGGACTAACTTAAGAAGTTAGAGAAGAGCAAGAAATTAAACTGAAAGAAAGGAGAAAGAAAGGATTAATGTAGGTAAAAATGGAATTTAATGAGTTCAATAACAGCAATAAATAAAATCCAGAAAGCAATTGATCAAGAAAACAGAGAAGGCCCTAGTATACAGTATGAGAAATAAGCAGTTACTCTTCAGATATATTAAAATTTATTGTGACATTGTTTTTAGTAGCACAAAATTGGAAACAACCAAACTGTCTATCAAGAGGGTTCTGGATAAATAAATAATGGAACTCTAAATAGTGGGAAACTAACTGTGCAGCTGTAGGGGGGAAAAATGTGTGTGTGTGTGTGTGTGTGTGTGTGTGTGTGTGTGTAAACCCTTTATATGTTCTTCTAGAAAAATTTTGAAGACATTAAAAAAAAAAAGGAAGGTATTTAGTAGTATGGATACTATGCTATCTATTGGTGTGGGGAAAAGGAAATTAAGATTCATATATTTATATTGATCTGAATATACATTTAAAAATCTCTGGGAAGGTAAACAGAAAGCTAATAGGAATGGTTACTTGGAAGGGATGGGAACTGGGCATATAGGGTACCGTGAGGGGGTCCTTTTCATGGCCATTTTATACTTTTTGGTTGAGTTTATTACCTAGTTAAACAATTAAGTAAAATGATATTTGAAAGCTCTTCTTTGACTGACTATTCAATGTGTTTGAGGGATCATTTTGGGTAAGGAAAAAATCAGCTCACTCTATTTAATTCTGTGATACTGAACAATTATGCACAAAAGGCAAGGCATACTTGGGAATAAGGAGATCACATATGGTTATAGCCTTCCGGTTGCTGAAAATGTAGTCGGGCAGACAGGCAGATATGAGTGTAATACAACTAAATACAACAGAAATAGAGAAATAATAGTGGATGAACAGGGAAGGGAATGGGGCGAAGACCTTGCAAAGGAGGTATGGCTCGAACTGGACGTTGAGGGACCTGTAGGACTTTGACAACTGGTGATGGGGGAAGTGGTGGGCAAATAGGGATAAAGAGGACATCCTTTGGAGGGAGGGAGAATCACATGCAAAATCTGGGACGCCAGAGCGCATGCGAGGTTTCGTTTGCTAATGGAGCAGCATAGCCATTTCTGTGTAGTGGGTGTGTAGGCTGTGTTTACTGGTGCAGGGACAGTCTTGTATTGGGATGTATGTCTGATGTAATCTTTTTTTTTTAAATGGGAAATTGCAAATATATACAAGTAGACAAGATAGAATAATGCAGCATACGAACTTCAACAGTTACCAACTCATGCCAGTCTGGTTCTGTGTATACTCTACCCACTGTAGCCCCCAGCTCCTGCCATATTTTGGAACAGATCCCAGATAACATCACTTCTTCTGTAAATGTTTCAGTGTATGGCTCTAAGAGATAGGGATTCTCTGTCTTTTGAACCAGTTGGAGTGCAGATTTCCAGGAGCTTCATAGATGTCATAAATAGTTTATTTTTAATAATTTTCTGTTTATTTGTTTAAATCAATAAATAAGGTTCACAGTTGCAATTGACTGATATGTCTTTGAAGTCTCTGGAGTTCTCTCTCCATTTTCTTCCCCCCTTGTAATTTATTTTGTTTGTCATGGAGCATTTCTCACTGTCAAGATTTACAGATCACATCCCCGTGGCCGAGCTCTGTGTGTTCCTGTTGTTTGTATTTTCCGTAAATTGGTAATTGAATCTGGGGGTTTGACCTGAACCGGGTTAGTTTTTGTTTGTTTTGGTTTGGCTTAGTTCCGTTTTGTTTTACCATATAGATTGTTCCGTGGTTTCCCATCAGGGATACCTAATGTCTGGTTATCTCTCCTTTTCTGATTTTAGCAGCCACTGCTGATCATGTTTCTGTTTTAGTCATTCTTTGCAGAGTAAAAAGAATAAACCTGTGTACATGTTGGTTTCCACGACTCCTCTTTTCTTTCATTTCTTAGCCCTTATACATACCCCGTGCAGTAGAGAATTTTTAAATGTAAATGTAGGAATAATTGGTTTCAAGTGACCTTCCAAAACATTGCAAGATGTTTTTTGGTTGAAAAAGAAATTTATCTCGTTGCAATGGATTTCCACAGCCTTGATTGTTTGTATTTTATACTTCATTAGATTGTTCTTCCAGTGCATTAGAAGTAAGGCAGCGGGGAAGCAATGGTGCGGAAGTATCCCATGGCAGGTAGGAGTTATTCCTGTCTTCAAACCTGCTCTGCTAAGACTGTTTAATCTGTGGTGTTGCCCGAAAAGACCTTGAAGTCCAGTATAAACTGGTTGGTCTTCATCATACTGTCTCTGAAAGATAGTTCTTTTCTTTAAGCAACGTGGACCCTATCGGGTCTTCTAATTCAAAGGACTATTTGGTTATAGTGGAGATTTAATTATTTGCCTCCTATGTCACTTAAATATTTTTCAAGGTCTTAAATGTGGTCACTGTTCTGTTTAGGAAAAAATTTGGATTTACTTGACTGACTTCAGCATCTTTTTATAGACTGGTTATCTCCTGGATGTTGGTATAAGCAGGGTGTCATTTGTAAGCTCCTAGACCGTGAGAGACTGATAGATGCCCAGCGCATGAGGGGCTCGGCCCAGGGAAGCGACAAGACTTCCACTGGTCGAGGTGTAGCTCAGACTTAGGACTCTGGATTCCTACAGTGAAACCGCCCTAAAGCCAAACTCAAAGCAAGCATAAGACACTGTATATGTTTGGGGATAAATTCATCTCGAGAGAGTAATTTTTTGTGAAAGGTATACATTGTGGCTGTTACAACTGCAAAAGCACTTGATTTGGTCACTACTTGTCCTTGAGGCCCGGGAAATCAGTAGTCACGGACAGAGAAGGAACCAAGCATTGAAAGTACTGTTCAGAAACTAATACTTTGTGTTAGGTACCTAGTCTTTCCTAGAGGCAGAAATGGTCCCAGGAATGTTCAGAAATACTGGACTACTGTTTCCATTTCCTCTGAAAAAAGGGCATTCTAGATATGATGCTCACATTAATGTTTTATATTAAGCTTATTTTCTTTGTCTTTTAGGAGCCTCGTTCCAAAGAGCATTCTGTAACGAACAAGTCTCAGCATGCCTGTGAGCCTCTTCATTATCTTTCCACCCAGCAGAGAAACCCATTCAAGGTCCTGGACAAGAATCAAGAACCGTCTCTCTGGAAACAGTTCACCAAAGGCGAAGCTGGGGATAAGATGAATGATAAGAAGCAAAAGGAAAAGGCAGATGTGCTCTTGGATCAAAAGAAGGAATGGAAGCCTGAATCCAACTGCTGGACAAAGCAAGATCTCTCATCTGGCCTGGAGATAAAGAAAAAACAACCTGCACCTCAAGAGCAGCTGCAAGGGGAGAAGACAGAGTTTCAGCGTGCAGCAAGGGAGAATGAAGGGATGCACATGAGAAACCTTTCTGAGGTTAAATCCAAGCAGTGCCATGGTGAGGAGCTGAGGAAACCATCTGGGTCTCTTCAGGAGAAATCACACGTTGAGAGTCATCCTGTCCAAAAAAAATCAGGGCCTCTGAGGGAAAAGGAAACCAAGCCTTTGCCTGGAATTATTCACAGTCGGAACCCAATAAGCAAGCCCCAGAAAGGGGAACACGTCAGCAAAGAGCACCCCAAGAGCCAGGAGGCTAGAGAAACAAAGGCAAGGGATGAGCCAGGCTCGCAGACCACCCGACAGTCAGAGCCTGGGGATGGGCCTGCGCCACCGGCCACAGGGCGCTTCCTGGGACAGAGGCCGGAAGCGGCCTCCAGCCGTGGCGACCGTTACGAGAATAATGCCGTTTTCACTTCCTCTGAGCCTCCCTTGCTCTTTGACTCGACTCCGGACTCACACAAGGAGGAGAACCTCCCGTTCCCTGGTCAGAGTGTGCAGAGAAAACCATCTCCTGCCTCGGGTGTTTCCAGGAAGGTGGAGCCTTCAGACCCAGCAGCCCAACGTGTGTACCTCACAACACAACTGAAGCAAAAGAAGGTAACTACTGACCTACCATGTGCTTTGTTTTTAAGGTCAGAGCATTGCTTGCTGGGGTCCACGAGCAAGTCAGACATGTCAACGTGAGAAAGGTTTTGTGGGTGAATATTTAAGTTCTGTCTTTTCCTGGGTTTATATTTTCAGGGTTAGTCAATCCGTCGGGTTTAAAACAAAACCAAACCAGGGGCGCCTGGGTGGCTCAGTTGGTTAGGCGACTGCCTTCGGCTCAGGTCATGATCCTGGAGTCCCGGGATCGAGTCCCGCATCGGGCTCCCTGCTCG